AAATGGAGTCTTGCATGACTAATGGGAAATGTGGATTATAGAGAGACACCATCTGGTGTAAAGAGGAACTTTGTAACCTCCCTTTGTTATGAGAACTTTACAAAAAAAAATTGCTGAACTGTGGAGGAGGATTTTTCTTTCCTGACTGCAAACAGCTGGACTTTGATGAAGAAAAGGAATTTACAATGGAACTCCTACAGTTGAACAAATAATAATTTGAATGTTGCCGCAGGAATAGAAGAAGGATTAAGCACAGCCTTAAAAGAAAGAAATTTGATACACTATATCCGGAATAAAATATGAAAAGAGATTTAATTGGACTTATGGAGAATAAAATTAAAAACTTGGAAAATGGAAGAAAATTTATGTTTGTAGACGAGGAAATGAAGATAATGTGATTAAAAATAAAATAAAGTAAAGATCATTGTAATAAGTTAAAGGGAGGCCTCTATAGAAATTAAAAATGTTAAATGAAACTAATTAATACATGTAAAGATATGTTTAATGCAAGGACTATGTTTTAATGGTAACATGTTAAGGTAAAGAATAAGGGTGAATATGATTAATTGAAAATGTTAAGAGGAATTTAAAAATATACTTAAAAATATGTTTTAAGCAAGAACCATGTCTCAAGGTTAAAATGTTATGAATGCTATGAAAAAGGATAAAGAAAAATATGATTAAATGAAAAGCAATGCATAGATGGAGGGAAACAACAAAGAACTAAAGAAGCTTCTTGGATGAAAAACAAAACGTTTTCAAGGGAAAAAACCCAGGAAAGTCCAGCCACCTTTTAAAAAAGCACTTTTGGGACAACCATGACCCGGATGACTGAGAATCCCCATAGACATAAAGGAGAAGAGCACTTAAATTTGCCTTGGTATTACAGAATGAATCAAAATACTTCTGAAGGACGATGCCCGCAGAGGGAAGATGGTATGATGGGCTACAGTGAAAGTCCTAAAGAATTAGTCCAATGGTGAAATCCAATTTTTTTTACTACCGGTTCTGTGGGCGTGGCTTGGTGGGCGTGGCAGGGGAAGGATACTGCAAAATCCCCACTCCCTCCGCACTCCTGGGGGAAGGATATTGCAAAATCCCCATTCCCACCCCACTCTCGGGCCAGCCAGAGGTGGTATTTGCCGGTTTTCCAAACTGCTCAAAATTTCCACTACCGGTTCTCCAGAACCTGTCAGAACCTGCTGGATTTCGCCCCTGGTTTAGTCTGTCTATTGTGTGTAAAGAAATAAAGAGCTAAATTTTCACTGGATTGTTTCATTGTTCCTGGGCTGGCCCTGACAATACTGCAACACTGGATGTATTGAAGGATATTTGGGAACAAGGGACCCAGAAGTTAGTTTTAAGAGTATCTGCCATTATATAGATACATGGTGCTTGGAAAAAATTATGGGAGAGGAGCACTTTTCATTGGATAGGATTTGAAAATGGAAATTAGAATAGAATAGAATAGAATAGAATAGAATAGAATAGAATAGAATAGAATAGAATAGAATAGAATAGAATAGAATAGAATTTTTTATTGGCCAAGTGTGATTGGACACACAAGGAATTTGTCTTTGGTGCATACGCTCTCAGTGTACATAAAAGAAAAGATATGTTCATCAAGAATCATAAGGTACAACACTTAATGATAGTCATAGGGTACAAATAAACAATCAAATCATACTAGGAAACAGTCAATATAAATCTTAAGGATACCAGTAACAAAGTTACAGTCATACAGTCATAAGTGGGAGGAGATGGATGATGGGAACGATGAGTGATTAATAGTAATAGTAATGCAGACTTGGTGAATAGCTTGACAATGTTGAGGGAATTATTTGTTTAGCAGAGCGATGGCATTCGGGAAAAAACTGTCCTTGTGTCTAGTTGTTCTGGTGTGCAGTGGTCCATAGTGTCATTTTCAGGGTAGGATTGAAATAGTTTATGTCCAGGATGTGAGGGGTCTGTAAATATTTTCACAGCCCTCTTTTTTGACTCGTGTAGTATACAGGTCCTCAATGGAAGGCAGGTTGGTAGCAATTGTTGTTGTTTTTATTATTATTATTATTATTATTATTATTATTATTATTATTATTATTATTATTATTTATTATTCTACTACTACAACTACTACTAGTAGTAGTAGTAGTAGTACTATAAATTATTGGAAGGAGAGGCTGTACTGGATGCACAAACAATGTCTCAACAAAATAAAAGAATGACCTGGATAAATTTCTCATCTTGGATTTACAAAAGACATTTGTTGAAGGTTTGAAGAATTTCTGAGTCCGGGCAAAGAAAAAATGAAAATAAACGAAAATCTAAGACATTATTTGAGGGAATTAAAAATCAAGATTATTAAATGTAAAGTGAAGGAATATAAAGTTGGTTTATTTATGTTGTTATTATGTTGTTATCACTTGTAATCTTTAATGGACTTCTGCAGATCAGGACTGAATGATCAGATTTTAAGGATTTGTTTATAGATAAGAGATGTGATATAGAAAGAAGAAATCATTTGTTGGATTTTAAGGGAAGGTGATAACTTCTCTTAAAGTTACTAAAATTGAATTCAGAAAAATGACATCTTCAGCCTCAGAGATGATAAAATAATTAGAAGTTACCATTACATGAAAAAAACCAGAAAGCATATAAATTAATTTAATAATTAATAAGTATTTACTATGAATTAATCAATTTGCCCCTTTGGACCCTAGGAAACTTTCTCTTAACATCTTCATCCTTCTCACTCTGCTCCCACTCAGAGTAAGGAGGGCTGTGAAAGAAAGCGAGGCACGAGGAAAGAAAACCAGTGTGTGGGGGTGGGGTGGGGGGAGCCAAAGCTTGTTCACTAAGCCCCTCCCTCCCTCCCTCCCTTCTCCTCCTGGCACACCGGCCTCCCTGCTTCAGGTTTTGCCTTCGGCCCTTCGTGATAACAGGAACAACCTCAGCAGGGACAGCAACAGCAACACTTTCCTCCCAGCATTCACACAGGTTGTGAGTATCAGCTGGAAACCCTCCTTGCTCCGCGATTGAAGGCAGATCGGTACTGTGGGAGATTGGATGCTGCGGCTGGGAGGGGGACCCTCCAAAGACACACACATCCCCGAGTTCACTCAGAGAACAAAACCTGAATTGGGGGTCTTGTGTAGCCCAGCAGCTTATTCCTGAGGGTGAGGGGATCAGTATTTGCGGCAGAGCTTTGGCCCTAGAGGCTAAAGCCCCTTCCCCTCCTTAATTCTGCAAGCGCCTGGAGTGCCTGCTGGGTATGAAGTGTCCAGGGAGCCCGGCCGCCTCCTTCTGGCTCTCGAGGGACAGAAGAGTCTGGGCTGCTACTGCAGGAAACCTGCAGGGAGCTCCTGGCTCTCCTTAAAGGAGCAACGTGGCTCTGGGAGCCTGCAGAGAATGGACCTTGCAGGCGGAGGCAGATGAGAGCTGCTGGCCAGGTGAGGAAAGGGAGGACCTGAAGGCAGGAATGGGCAGTTCTTCCGCATGGTTAGGATAGGCGGTCACTAGGTCTCCAAGCAGATGGGGAGACCGGCAGGTGGGCTCCCATGACTGCCTGTTTTGTGGGGTGTGGGTGCTCTTTGGCCTGGGAAGCCCTCTGGCTTTCTCTCCCGGCTGTTCTATGTGCAGAGGTGGAGCTGCACCTGGGCTCTCCTGCTGGGACTGAAGGCAGGCTGGCCCCTCTCAAAACTTGGTGAGACAGAGCCCACCGGCTACCCAGACAGAGCCCACCTCCTTTGCATCCACGTGGTTCCCACTGATTTATTTATGGTAAGTGGATTGATTGATTGAAGACGTTGATATAACCACCCATCTTATAACCAACTCCAGGTGGGTCCCAATCAAAAGTTAAATTGTCTGACCAGAGATATTAGAAGATTTAATCCTATACCTGGAATAATGGAAAGAGATATTCCTAGAGACATTTAGTCCAACAGTGAAGATTCCACTAGAACATTTCTGACAAATGACTCTCCGACCTCCTTTTCAAGAGACCCAGTCAAAGAGAGCTGGATTTTGTGCTTCTGTTGACATCCCTTCCCGGCCTCCCCCACTCCTCAAAATGTGCCTTTTTAGTAGCTGCATCACCCTGGGGGCTCATTGCCAGCTTGTGATCTACTAGCATATCCAGATGTTTGTCATCTGTGCTCCTTGCAAGCCACGTCTCTTGCAGCAGAAGAGACATTTGGATGTGAAACAAGGGTGAGCAAGGAGGCATGAAGGACACCTAAAATGATGCCTTGAATGGATGGGGTGGTGGGTGGTGGACAGGATCCCTCACGGTCATCTGATGGATCTGGAGCAGAGTGTCAAATGATCCAGAGGAAGGAGATTCAGAGCAGGCAACACAACATGTGCTTGCTCCCTTCTTTGCAGAAAACCATTTGATGCCCTCATGCCATAAGCAGAGCAGCTGAAGCAAAAGCGGCAACCAGAAATATTCAGCAGAACATTCAGCACTGGAGATCTGAAAAAAGCTGAAGCCCCTCGACCTCTTGACCTTGCACAGGAGGTCTGTGGGGATGGAAGGACCACCACCCAGTACATAATCACAAGGGAGACAGTCTTCAGGGCCAGGGTTGTTCTGTATAATATCAGCCTTAGGAGCAGCTATGTTGATGTCCTTGTCGTGGGCTTCCCATTGAGGAGTGTGGCCACTGGTCACCCTGGCAAAGAGCTTCTGGACAATGGAGATGGTCGAGCACCACCCAGCTGGGCAAGGTCCAGGAAGCAAGGAGGGCACTGATTTCACAGGAAGGTCTCATCTGGGGCTAAATGCAGAATCTTGGAAAGCTGACTGGACATTTTCACCTCAGACATTTTTTCAGAGGTTTCTCCCCTCTTGTTGCGGCTGTTTCTGAGATAAGCTCAGAACGGACTCACCACCATCACCTCTTGATTCCTTTCCCTGCTCCCCTCAATCCCTCTCAATCCCTTCTTATGTGCAGATGAAGCTCTTCATCTTGTAAAGATCATGTTGATGTAGGAGTGTTGAGATTGTGTGAACCATTTCCATTGGTCTATTGGTCAGTGGTCAACTAGGATTGAGTGTAGATAGAAGATGAAGTGGTTCCTCAATTGCCTGGACATTGACTGACCACTTTCTATTGTCATTTCAGCCCAAGGGAACCTTCTGTCCATCATGACCCGGCCCAACCACACAGACATGGACAACCCTCCCTCCTTCTTCTTGGTGGGGATCCCAGGACTAGAGACTGCTTACTTCTTGCTGGCCTTTCCCTTTTGCCTGACCTATCTGCTGGCTCTCGCAGGGAATGGAATCATATTCCTTATCATCCAAATGGAGAACAGTCTCCATCAGCCCATGTATATGCTCCTAGCCATGCTGTCCATAGTGGACATGGGCCTGTCCAGCTCCACCATCCCCAAGATGCTCACCATCTTCTGGCTAGGTGCCCATGACATTGCCTTCAATGCTTGCTTGACCCAGATGTTCTTCATCCATGCCTTAGCCGCCCTGGAGTCTGGTCTTCTAGTGGCCATGGCCTTGGATCGCTACGTGGCTGTGTGTTGCCCCCTGCGATACACGGCTATCCTCACTGGCTTCACCATTGCTAAACTGGGCTTGGCCATCACTGCTCGGGCAGTGGTGCTCCTTGTCCCCTTAGTTCTAATGGTGATGCGTCTGCACTTTTGCCAAACACGGGTCATTGTCCACTCATATTGTGAGCATATGGCCGTGGTCAAGTTGGCCTGTGGGGACACCAAAATCAACAGTGCCTATGGCTTGGTGGTGGTTGCCATAGTCATTGGGTTTGACATAATGTTTGTTTCTTTCTCCTATTTCCTTATTCTTGGGACAGTCTTCCGGCTCCCATCAAAGGATGCCCGTTGGAAGACCCTCGGGACCTGCAGTTCCCACGTTTGTGTGATCCTGTTGTTCTATACCCCAGCTATCTTCTCCTTCCTCACCCACCGCTTTGGCCACGGAGTGGCTCCTTATATCCGTGTCCTGGTAGCCAGCCTCTACCTCTTAATCCCTCCAGCGCTGAATCCCATTGTGTATGCCTGGAGGACAAAGCCCATCAGAGAAAAAATCCTCAGGATCCTTCAGCTTTGCAAGACATGAGGGAAGAGTAGCAGAAGCCACTGATTATGGAATGTGACCACTGGAAGGGCCCACAGTTCTCATAACCCCCGTGAAAAGAGTGAGTTCTTTCCCTGCCTTTTCTTTTCTTCAGAGTGAGTGTCCCTCATCTCTGGGTAGCACAATTTGTCAGAAAGCAACTTGGATTGTAGGCAAGCCAAGGCTGTAAGTGGATTAGGGTTTAGCTGTCCAGCAAGAGAAGGTCTCTTTAGCTCCTGATGTCCATCACATCTCAGACGGCTTGAAGCTGGTAACACTTTTTTTTTTTTAATTTGATTTATATGCCGCCCTTCTCCGGAGACTCAGGGCGGCTTACAGTGCGTTAAGCAATAGCCGTCATATTTTTGTATTTTTTTATACAAAGTCAGCTTATTGCCCCCACAAACTGGGTCCTCAATTTACCTACCTTAGAAAGGATGGAAGGCTGAGTCAACGTTGAGCCTGGCGAGATTCGATCTTACTTTAATTGCAGACAGCTGGTGTTAAATTACAGTGCTTAGTCTGTTGAGCTATCCAGGCTCCCTGACAGCTTACACTGACACTGGCGGTCAGTGTAAGTGCTGGACTACGCAAGACCCCCAATTCAGGTTTTGTTCTCTGAGTGAACTCGGGGATGTGTGTGTCTTTGGAGGGTCCCCCTCCCAGCCGCAGCATCCAATCTCCCACAGTACCGATCTGCCTTCAATCGCGGAGCAAGGAGGGTTTCCAGCTGATACTCACAACCTGTGTGAATGCTGGGAGGAAAGTGTTGCTGTTGCTGTCCCTGCTGAGGTTGTTCCTGTTATCACGAAGGGCCGAAGGCAAAACCTGAAGCAGGGAGGCCGGTGTGCCAGGAGGAGAAGGGAGGGAGGGAGGGAGGGGCTTAGTGAACAAGCTTTGGCTCCCCCCCACCCCACCCCCACACACTGGTTTTCTTTCCTCGTGCCTCGCTTTCTTTCACAGCCCTCCTTACTCTGAGTGGGAGCAGAGTGAGAAGGATGAAGATGTTAAGAGAAAGTTTCCTAGGGTCCAAAGGGGCAAAATTGGGACCTCCAATAGCTGATTCCCTTCAGTTTCTAAACTTTGCGTGTCAAATTGATTAATTGATAGTAAATACTTATTAATTATTAAATTAATTAATATGTTTTCTGGTTTTTTTTTCAAGTAATGGTAACTTCTAATTATTTTGTCATCTCTGAGGCTGAAGATTCCAAATTCCAAATTCAGACAATTTTAGTAACTTTTTTTAAAGTTTTTTATTTTTTAGACAAACAAACATTTAATACACAGTTTTCTCTTCCCTGTGACATCTCGGTGTTATCGTCCAAAGTTCTTTCTTCTTCTGTATAGTTGTCATTACTTCTCTCTTGATCCTTATCCAGTCCACAATATCAATTCATCACTAATATAATATTCAACTCATCACATATTTTTACATACTGATATAATTAATCATTTATATCTCTTCTCCAACCAATAATAAAAATAAAAATATGATCCAATATGAGAAATTTATTCAGGACACTCTTATTTGTTGGGACATCAATTGTACATTTCCTTCCAATAATTTCCATTTTTAAATCCACTTTCAAATCCTATCCAGTAAAACGTGCTCCTCTCCCATAATGTTTTCCAAACACCATGTATCTATAATGGCAGATACTCTTAAAATTAACTTCTGGTTCCCTTGTTCCCAAATATCCTTCAATACATCCAGTGTTGCAGTATTGTCAATGATACAATCCAGCCAAAGTGGATTTGCTTTACAACAGTCATATACACTCAACGGCTGCTGCAAAACTGTAAAATCAGGCACATCCACTTGAAGACTCACTTATCCATCAAACTGCAGGCTCAGTTGAGGTTGTCAGTTGAGGACTCCCTGCAGTCCACTTGTATCTTTCCAAAATCAGAATTCTAATCAGCTTTTTACTCTTTATTCCCCTAAGAGAATTGGGTATTTCCCCAAGAGTCACGGAGCCTGGCCACCCAACAGCAGCTGCTGAGGCTTTCTCATACCCCCCACCCCACCGGCTGCTGGAATCTGCCTTCCTAAATGCCTCATTTGAACAGTTCCAGGAATGCTTTGTAATCCTGCAAGAATGTGGCAGGAGAGCCAGTTGCACTCACCACCCAGTGTGGCCAAAAGCAGGCCTTTCTCGCAAATCAGCATTTCCTTGACCTGGCAAGGTCTCCTCAGCCCCTCTGCATCAGGGCTGACCAGGCAGAGCATTGGCCTGCAGAACTGGCAGCCAATCAGGAGACAGCAGGAGGCTCATAAGAACCTGAGCAGGTGGGACCAGATGAGGGCCAGATTTTGGCAGGGCACCCAGCCCAAGGTCACGGGGGCAGCTATGAAGACCCGAGCAAAGGCCATGGGCCCTTCTGCTTGAAAGGAAATAAGAATAGAGATGGAAGGGACCTTGGGGGCCTTCTAGTCCAACCCCTTGCTCTAGTTTAGTTTAGTTTAGTTTAGTTTAGTTTAGTTTAGTTTAGTTTAGTTTAGTTTAGTTTAGTTTAGTTTAGTTTAGTTTAGTTTAGTTTAGTTTAGTTTAGTTTTGCACCTCATACAATTAAATTAAATGCCATCTTCCGTGTACATTATAACTATAAAAATAAAACACGAACACACATCCTTCACATTCTATACAATTGAACTGAAAACCTGATATTGCACTAATATTGCATTATACAGTAGAATTCAATATAGTTACTGCCCTGGCATAGAAGCTGTTTTTCAGCCTATTTGTCCTTGTTTTTATTATCCTGTACCGTCTGCCAGATGGTAATAGTTCAAAAAAAGGGTGCCCGGGATGAGATGGATCTTTGAGAATGTTTTGAACTTTCTTAAGACAGCGGGAGCTATAAAGCTCTTCCAAAGAGGGGAGGGGGCAACCAATGATCCTCTGGGCAATGACGTTGACCCTCTGGAGCGCTGTCCTATCTGCCCCTGTGCAATTGGCAAACCAGACACAGGTGCAGGAAGTTAAAATGCTCTCTATGGTGCAGCGGTAGAAGGTCACCAGCGGTTTTCCATTCAGTTGTTGTTTCCTGGGAAGTCTCAGGTAGTATAATCTCTGCTGGGCCCTTTTGACCAGTGCTGCAATGTGAGCGCCCCAGGTCAGCTCCTCTTTTAGGATAACACCCAGAAACTTAAAAGTGGCCACTTGCTCCACTTGGTCTCCATTGATAAGCAAGGGCTGGATGTCTGATCTGTTCCTTCTATAGTGCACTATAAGCTCCTCAGTCTTATTGGTGTTAAGGAACAAGTTATTCTTTCCACACCACGAAAGCCACCGGTCCACCTCATCTCAATAGGAAGACTCTGTCCCTCCCCAGGATGAGTCTCACCACTGTTGTATCATCTGCAAATTTAGTAATAGTATTACTAGCGTGAGTGGGAATGCAGTCATGCACTCTCTAGCAGGAGACCTTATAGAATTTCAGACAAATGGCTGTCCAATCTCTTCTTAAAAACCTCCAGTAATAAAGCACCTACAACTTCTGAAGGCAAGCCTTGTTCTAATTGTCAGGAATTTTCTCCTCAATTCCAGGTTGCTTCTCTCCTTGATTACTTTCCATCCATTGTTTCTTGACCTGCCTTCTGGTGCTTTGGAGAATAGCTTGACCCCCTTCTTTGGGGCAGCCCCTCAATCAGGGGTGGGCTGCTGGGGGTTTACAGGGGTTCGGGAGAACCTCTAGCTAAGATTCTGTGCAGTTCAGAGAACCCCCAAATCCCACTCTTGGCTCACCCCACCCCGACCCTCCCAGGAGTCCCCACGCGGCCCGTTTTGGATGCAGGTAAGTGCAGGGCACGTGCGGAGGCTCGGGGAGGGCAAACACCAGGCCTACCAGAAGTTCGGTAAACCCAGAAACGGGCCCGTTTCTGGCCTCCAGAGGACCTCCAGAGCCTGGGGAGGCCATTTTCGCCCTCCCAGAGGCTCAAGGAAAGCCTCTGGAGCCAGGGGAGCGAAAACACCACCACCACCCTGTTGCCATGGTGCAGGAGCCGACTAGGCCACACCCACCATGGCCGCACCCACCCAGCAACCGGACAGAGAACCCCTTGCTAAAATTTTTGAAGCCCACCCCTGCTCTCAATGTTATGAGAAATGTCAATGAGAGAGCAGCAATGTCCTTAACGAAGCCATGCCACCCGTGGGGCTATAAAAGAACAACCTCCTTGACCTTCTATGGAAGCAACTCTCTGATGATGGGCATGTATGATTTTTGGATCTTTTTATTTATTTATTTATTTATTTATTTAATATAATTTGTATGCCGCCCTATCTCCGTAGGACTCAGGGCGGCTCACAACAAATAAAAACAAACCCAATAAAACATAAAATACATAAATATGCATACATAAAATACATAAATGTATAAATATATTTTATACATTTTTGCTCCTGGTCGTATTTTTAGACTCCTGGCTTGAGAAGGCAGATCAAACTTCTGCCATCCCCTCACTTCATAGGGTGGAGCTTCCAAGTTCTCCACCATCTTGGGCACTCTTCCCAGTTCCTTGGCGTCCTTCTTGTCAGCAGGAATCCACCTCTGCAGCCACAGCACTGGATTTGTTGGTTAGACTTGTGAAGACTGTTTCCATGACGGGAAATCCCTCAGGCAAGGGAGAAGGGCTGCTTGTGCAAAGGACGTTGGGATCCACAAGAGAGGCAGAAGCTCCCCAAGGCCACCCAAGTGACGAGGAAGGACCACTCATAAATTGCCTGGCTGTTGACTCCTGGATCCTCTTTGCAGGAAAAGCATCAGCCAGCAGCATGTCTGAGGGGGGCGGTGGATTGATCTCCCCACCCAAGGTCAGTCTCCTGGCGGAACGGTTCAGATCTTGCTAAGTGGGAGAGAAACAGAAGGGGGGAGCAGCAGTGGCTATGAGTAGGGCATGGGTCTGGGGTCCTCACCTACAAGTCCTTCTTCAATGAAAGGGCTCCGTTGTTTTTTGGTGTGGTATTTCTCGGCCATTCATTTATCCCTAGTTTTCCAGGCCACCGACTCAAAATCAACAAGGGGAAGGAAATACAATAAAAAGAGATTGACAGAACAAAATAAAGACCTCTCCCCACAGTTCTCAGGCTCTAGTAGATGCTGAGTCCGAAGCCGTGTTGGACCAGCCTGGCTCTGTCTGGGGCTATTCCCTAATGCGAGGGACCTGCTGCTCAGAAGGTCCCCTGCCGTCCATGGCTCCATGTAAAGTGGAGCTCAGGAAGCATCTCCTTGACAGATCCTCATATCTGTGGAAGGAAAAACTGTTCTGCCCAAATATCAACGTTTTTCTGCCATTCCAAAACCCACCAGGATGAGGCAGGGACATCCTTGGGCACACAACTGGGCCCCAGTATTTCATGTGAGCTTCCTTCTCCTTCCCAGCCCGCCGTCTGCAAGCTGGGACCCTCCTTAGAAGCACAGAATTTAGAGGCACCAGGTCAGTCCACAGTGAGGTCACCCCTGTTGTTATGAGAGCTAGGCTTCCTGTCGTGAAGGTCATGCTATCGTTTGCCTTTCAAAAGCTTATGTACCATTTCAGGGGATCTATAGCCCATAACCTTGTAGGCTTTGGGGCTCTTCAGTGTTCCTTTGGTGAGGAGCCCTGATCACTGTGAGTTCCTTACTTGAGTGGGCATTTTCCGTACCACCCACAGGAACAAAATGACAAATGCAGCTCAAACTCTATTGTCTTTGGTTCCTGGCGATTAGATGGGCACTTCCAAGTACTGTTTTTTGCAAAATATGATGGATATTGTTTGCCATAGCCTTCTTCTGGGGTTTTGTAGATAAAGAATTCTCAAGGCAGCCTTATAGGTGCAGAAATTCTCACCCAACAGATATTAGAGCCAACCCACCAGACTCCACTAATATCTCTGTGTGTCTCTCTACCTATCCATATCTTTTTCTTTCTTTTTCTTCCTTTTTCTTTCTTTCTTTCTCTTTCTTTCTTTCCTTCCTTCCTTCCTTCCTTTTTTCTATATCTATCATGTCTATCTATTGATCTATCTATATTTATCTTTCTTTCTATTAGCTATTCATCTAACTATGTCTATGTCTATCATTATCTATCTTTCAACCTCTGCTATGTCACAGAGAGGTTGCTATGTCCACAGTCATGGCCACCCTCTGTGTTCCCCTCCCCCAACGTCATCTCCTTTCCTTCTGCCCAAGGGTCACTTTGACTGACGAGGCTCTGCAGATGAAGGTGTGCCATGCAGCACATCATTTCTGGTGCCCCTGTGAATGCCACGGCCACGCTCCATGATGCCTTCACCCTCCTGGGCATCCCAGGGCTGGAGTCCCTGCACAGCTGGCTCTCCATCCCTTTCTGCTCCATGTACCTGGTGGCTCTGCTGGGCAACGTTGGCCTCCTGCTGGTGATCAAGATGGAGCCCAGCCTACACGAGCCCATGTACCTCTTCCTGGGCATGCTCTCCCTCACAGACCTGGTGCTCTCCTCCTCCACCCTGCCCAAGCTGCTCGCCATCCTCTGGTTTGGCAAGAAGGACATCAGCTTCCACGCCTGTCTGGCCCAGATGTTCTTCATCCACTCCTTCACTTCCATGGAGTCTGGCTTCTTCCTGGCCATGGCCTATGACCGCTACATGGCCATTTGTAACCCCCTGCACCCACACGGCTATCCTCACTAACGCCCTCCTGGCCAAGGTGGGGCTGGCCGTGGTGGTTAGGGGGCTGGTGCTGTTCCTCCCACACCCATTCTTGGTGGGGCGGCTGCCCTTCTGCAAGTCCAAGGTCATTGTCCACAGCTACTGCGAGTTCATGGCTCTGCTGAAGCTGGCTTGTGCAGATACAGCGGCGAGTGGGGGCTACAGCCTCACCGTGGCTTTCCTGATCGGGGGCTTCGATGTCTGCTTCATCAGCCTCTCCTATGGTCTGATCCTGCACACAGTGTTATGTCCTTATATGGGCACCCGCCGGGGATTGGCTAATCCTCCGGCGGGAGATTCAAATAACTGTCAGTGGGCGGCGAGTCTGCCGGAGCGTATAAAAGGAGCTCCGGCAGCCCAGCCGCTCGTCTTTTTTCCTGTGCTTGAATAAAGTACTGAACTGGACCAGAGCTGGTCGCGTCTTGCTTTCCCTGCGCCGATCTAACACTGGCGACGAAGGAACTGAACCAAGCGACGAACCTCGGGCACAAGCCAACCTCAGAGAGCTAAGTCACTGAGAACTGAGTCACCTTGTAGGGACTTCCAGAGGCATGGCATCAGCTGAAGTCACCTTGCCAGCCCTTGCTCCTTTCCGCCCAGGGAAGGACAAGTGGAAATCCTACGTGGTCAAATTTCGGCAATACCTGAGAGGAAACAACATCAGGGATGCCGATGATGACCGGAAAAAGGGCATCTTCTTGGCTAACTGTGGATCCGAAGTCCTCGATATGGCAATCGATCTCGTCGCACCACGAGACATCGAAGAAGTGCCATGGACGGACCTGCTACAGATCCTGGAAGAACACTATGCCCCAACTGGAACACCAGTGGCGAACCGTTTCACCTTCCATCAGAGGGATCAAAAGGAAGGTGAGACCGTCAAAGAATTCGTGGCTGCCCTGCGCCAAATCGCAGCCAGCTGTGAGTTCGATCATGTGGACAACGCCATCGCTGACCGCGTGGTTTTCGGCATGAGGGACAGAGGTCTGCAAAAGAAATTCCTGAGCAGGAAGAAACTCGTGCTCAAGGATGTGGTGGAGGAAGCCACCGCATCCGAAATCTCGGAGAGAGCGGCTGCCGCAGTAAGCAGAGCAAAGGGAATCCACAAGATTCGCTCCACAACGCAATCATCAACTGAGGATTCCACAGCGGGATCAGAGTCGGAGGAGGAATCCACCGTACACAAGGTATCCAGACCCCCAAGGCGGGAAACCGCCCAAAAAAGTTACAAGGGGGAGTGCTGTGCCAGCTGCAGAGGGGACCACGCCAGAGCCAGCTGCAAATGGAGAGACGCAACCTGCCGGCGTTGCAACAGGAGAGGGCACATTGCAGAGGTGTGCAGAGCTGAGGAACCAGCCCCAGAGCCCTCCAGCCACCGCCCTCGCGAAAACCGGGAGGACAACGCGAGGGCATCCAAACGATCCTCCTACCAATCCAGACGGGGTGAGAGCGACGGGAACCGGAGGAGAGCAGTACACCAAACCACAATACACCTCTCCAACGACGACGCCACCGCCACCAAGTGCCACGCGACCGTGCTGCTCGAAGGGACCCCATGCTCCATGGAAGTAGACTCGGGCTCCATCTACTCAATCATGGATTGGAAAAATTTAAAACGCATCAAGCCAGACGTCCGCAAGAGAGACCTGAGACCCCTGCGCTCCAGGCTGGTGGATTTCGGAGGAAACCACATCGGAGTCCTGGGAAGAGCCTCGCTCCACGTGTCTTACCAAGAATTCCAAGGCAACCTCCCCATCACCATCGTCGAGCACGACCGCCTAACCCTGCTAGGCATGGAGTGGTTCAAGCCACTAGGGCTCGGAATAGTAGGAGTTAACCAAATTCGTCAGGACGAACTCGACACCCTCCTCGAAGAGTTCAAGGAAGTCTTCGACGGTAAGCTGGGGAAATTTGTGGGGAAGCCCATTTCCTTTAATCTTGATAAGACAATTACCCCCATTAGGCTTAAGCCCCGCAGAGTTCCGTTTGCCCTGAGGCCCAAAGTAGATGCTCAGCTAGATAAGCTGATAGCCCAGGGCGTGTTGGAACCAATCGATCATGCAGCATGGGAGACACCCATTGTGACCCCCATGAAGCATGATGGATCTGTGCGCATCTGCGCCGACTATAAATGTTCGATTAATAAGGCCCTGTCGCAGAGAGCATACCCAGTCCCAGTGGTGCAACATCTGCTGCATTCACTTGGGAGTGGGACAATATTTGCAAAACTGGACCTGGCCTAGGCTTACCAGCAATTGCCAGTGGATGAAAAAACTGCGGAGGCGCAAACGATTGTCACCCATAGGGGCGCATTTAAGTGCAACCGCCTCCAATTCGGAGTCAGCGCAGCCCCAGGCATTTTTCAATCAATGATGGAACGCCTTCTCCAAGGCATTCCAGGGGTGGTGCCGTACTTTGATGATGTGTTGATCTCCGGGCACTCAAAAACCCAGCTGCTTGAGCGACTTAAACAAGTTTTGCAGCGCTTCAAGGAGAAGGGTTTGAGAGTAAGGAGGGACAAATGCATCATTGGAGTCCAGGAGGTCGAGTTCCTGGGCTATCTCATAGATGGCACCGGCATCCACCCCACCAAAGCTAAAGTCAGGGCAATCCACGAAGCTCCAGCCCCCAAAAACAAAGCCGAGCTTCAGGCATTTTTGGGATTGCTAAATTTTTATGCGGTGTTCCTTAAACAGAAGGCAACAGCCGCTGAGCCACTCCATCGATTGCTGGGGAAAGCGGTCCCGTGGAGATGGGGAACAGAGGAAGAAAACGCCTTCAAAACCATCAAGGGGCTCCTATCCTCCGACAGCGTGCTGATCCAGTACCACGAGACGCTTCCTCTGCTGCTGACCTGCGACGCTTCACCATATGGGATTGGCGCAGTCCTCAGCCACCAGCTCCCCAACGGATCAGAGGCACCCATCGCCTACTTCTCTAAAACGATGTCCAGCACCGAGAGGAATTACAGCCAGCTGGACAAGGAAGCCTTGGCCATTGTGGCTGGAGTCAGACGTTTCCATGAGTACCTATATGGCCGGAACTTCACGGTCATCACGGACCATAAGCCACTCTTGGGACTATTAGCGGGTGACAAACCCACACCCGGCTACATGTCGCCCAGGATGACACGCTGGGCCATCTTCCTTGCCGGGTATTCATACAAACTCATTCATAAGCCCGGCAAAACCATCGGGAACGCAGATGCCCTGAGTAGGTGCCCATCCAAAGAGCCAGTAGAAGACCCCGCACCCACCATAAGCCTCCTCCACATCGACGCCGACAGAGACTGCCCAGTGACGTCAGCAGATGTGGCCACCCATACCCAGAGGGACCCCATACTCAGGCAAGTGAGATCCTGGGTCCTGCGAGGCTGGCCAGCAGAAAAACCGGCAGAAAAGTTCAGCCCTTTCGCACGGAAGCAACAGGAGCTGTCCACCATGAAAGGCTGTATCCTATGGGGAGACCGGGTGCTGATTCCCAGCGCTTTACAGAAGAAGACGCTCGAGACGCTCCACAACGGACACCCGGGCATCGTAAGGATGAAAGGACTGGCACGGAGTTACGTCTGGTGGCCATCCCTGGACAAGGACATTGAAGAGTGGGTCGCCAGATGTGACCCGTGCCAAGAGGTACGTCCCGCCCCCGCCCAAGCCCCAGTGTCAGAGTGGGAGATGCCCAGCAGCCCATGGGCACGGATCCATATTGACTTCGCGGGTCCAATGCAGGGGCACTACCTCTTAATCGTTGTGGACGCTTTCTCCAAGTGGCTAGAGGTCATCCCCATGGCATCTACCACTTCCGAAGCCACCATCAGGGCACTCAGGCGCCTATTCGCAACACACAGGCTGCCGGATGTCCTAGTCTCTGACAATGGCCCACAGTTAACATCCAAGGCCATGGAAGAGTTCCTGGCGGGACAGGGCATCCGCCACGCCCTCACCGCATTTTACAGGCCAGCCGGAAACGGTCAAGCGGAACGCATGGTGAGACTCACCAAGGAGACGCTCACCAAGATGGGTCCGGGCGACTGGCAAGAGAGGATCGACAACTTCCTCCTTACACAACACATCACCCCGCATGCCACCACCAAGAAGAGCCCAGCTGAGCTACTGATGGGCAGACGCCTGAGGTCACCGGCTGCACCCCCAGTATAACCCTGAAGTGACAGCAACGGCCAGCCGGCCGCTCCGCGCCTTCGCCATAGGAGACCCGGTGTTTGCGCTTAACTTCAACGGCTCTCCGAAGTGGCTAAAGGGGAGAATAGAAAGCACAACCGGCCCGAAGTCCTACCGAGTCGAGCTGGAAGATGGACAGGACTGTAGACGGCACATCGACCAGCTTCGGAAAAGGTGGAGGGGATCGGAAGGAAACCAGCCTGACGAGGTAGGCCTACCACACCCCGACGAGGTAGGCCTACAACACCCCGATGAGGTAGGCCTGCAACACCCCGGCAGAGCAGACCTACAGCACCCCGGCGAGGTAGGCCTACAACACCCCGACGAGGCAGGCCTACAACACCCAGGCGAGGCAGGCCACCGACACCCCGACGAGGCCGGCCAAGCACATTCCCATGCACTCACCCATCGGCGATCCAGAGCGGTAGACCGGGACCTGTCACAAGAGGGACGGCATCCCCAACCCGGCAAGGTGGGCATCCGCCACTCCATGGAGAGGGACCGCCACAACAGTCAAGGGGTAGACCGGGACCCACCCAGGGAGGGAGGATCGCACCCCTCCAGCGACGAGGACCAACAACGGCCCTGCCAGGGAGACCAACGCTCCAGGCAAGTAGACCGGGGACAACCACACGGGGGAGGCGCACAACACGCAACCCAAGCCGGCCAGCGACCGACCGGCAAGGGAGACCCCAACCAGCATCCAGACCGGGTCGACCAACACCAACCCTGCAAGGTCGACCAGCACCACTCCAGCAAGGAAGGCGCACACCACCCAGACCAGGTCGAACAGCACCACCCCAGCGAGGTCGGCCAGCACCAACCCTGCGAAGCCAACCAGCTCCAACCCAGCCGCGGAGATGAACACCACCCCGGCGAGGTCGACCACATGGGACAGCGACAGCGACGGGAGCCACGGAAGCCCAACGAGACACCAACGGACTTACCGGGTTTCGGACGGCACCCACCGGACAGCAGCGATGTCCCGCCGCGAGGTTCCAGATTCTCCAGGCGAGGGAAGGACCAGCGACTCCAGCGCGAACTTCCAGATGTTGCGGCCGGAGGTGCTGGGACGGATCCCGCACACTCGACGGCCGGAGCCCCGGCCACCCCCACCGGGGAGCCGGGAAGGACAGGAGCTTCACCTGCACAGGCCGGCGGCGAAGCTCAGACTGAACTGCGCAGGTCATCTCGGGCAAGCAGGCACCCCGCCTACTTGCGTGACTTCGTAACATATATTAACTGTGATGGATATTTTTCAGACTAAGGGGGGAGGAGTGTTATGTCCTTATATGGGCACCCGCCGGGGATTGGCTAATCCTCCGGCGGGAGATTCAAATAACTGTCAGTGGGCGGCGAGTCTGCCGGAGCGTATAAAAGGAGCTCCGGCAGCCCAGCCGCTCGTCTTTTTTCCTGTGCTTGAATAAAGTACTGAACTGGACCAGAGCTGGTCGCGTCTTGCTTTCCCTGCGCCGATCTAACACACAGTCTGCCACTTGCCCTCCAAAGAAGCCGGTTTCAAGGCCCTGGGCACCTGTAGCTCCCACATCTGCGTCATACTCATCTTCTACACTACGGCCTTCTTCTCCTTCCTCACCCTCCGCTTTGGCCACAACGTCCCCCATTCTGTCCACATCCTCATTGCCAACGTCTACCTCATAGTTCCACCTGCACTGAACCCCATCATCTACGGCCTACGGACCAAGAAGATCCGGGACAGGGTGCTGGGACTCTTTTCTTCATGATGTCTCATGACCTTCCCAAGCACTGTTGCAGCGATGTGTCTCTTACCAGAGAAGATCTGCACACGTTGCAATGTCCAACCGAAGGAGAGGAAGGAGACTTTGCAGTTTAGGGTCGGTTTGGAGGAAGAAATATCTGCCTAGCCTCTGTTGGGTCTTTCTGGTGTCTCCCAAGGGAAGCCACACAGTCTGGCAATATTCTGTTAGGATATTTAAATTTAGTAGCTGGAACAGGGAAATGTGCAATGGGCCAGAACAGGTGTCCGTAGTTGATTGGCTGGAGAGCGCCACCTCCTGCGTGAGGCAATCTGTGCTATGACTGGTTGCTGTAGGTGTCGTTTCCCTTTCTGTGTGTGCTCTGTGTGCTGTCAGTGATTTTCCTCATGATGCTCCTGTTTGCCTGACCATCTTGTCTGCTGTACATGCAAATGTTAAATAAATGTACTTGTATAGCATTAGACGGTTCATGTCGATAACCTGGCCTCCTGCTGCATAATTTCTTGACGTTCTTATAATATAGGTGATCAACCATAAATATCTCCTTTGGCCAGGGGCTCGCAAGTGGTCCTGCCAGACAATCTGGGACCCCTAACAAGAGTTTTGCAGGTTCTCGTCTTCAGGTCCACCAGATATTCTAACCAACCAGTGAGGCCACAACTAACAAGCAGCTCACAACTCTTCCCTTGCAACCCATCTCCAGGTGAAGGTGCCTGTCAGTCCTGAAGGCCAGGGGTCCATATAACATGGAGCTCATCTCCCTCTTTTCTTCCCCCTCCTGGAGAAAGCCATAAAAGGGGAAGAATGGCTGCAGCTCTCCACAGCTGGCACCCTTTGTTGTCACCTGCTGCGTTTGTGGCCCTTCCACGGGCAACCTATCAGTTGGGGAGAGCAGCTCAGGGTGATCTAGACTGGCAGCCCCCAACCTTTTGGGTGCCAGGGACCAATGGTGGTTGTTCCATGGATCAGGGAGCCACGTGGTTTTGGGCACTGCCTGGATCCTGTGCATGCACAGATGGAGCTTATCTTGCTTGTGTGGCCAGTTCCTGGTGGGTCACAGGCCAGGGGTTGGGGGTCCCATCACTGGGGAGACACTCTTTGCCCACTGAGCAGAGAGGCCTGTCTTGGATTGGTCAGTAAAAGATGCCCCTCCATCATCGAACCCCCCTCACACTATTCATTGTTACCTGAGCATAAAAAACAAATAAGAACTACTAAGCCAAAGAAATTAAAAGCAGAATGGAATTTACACAAAGACCCTTCACTGTAATTCTTCCTCCCCTTCTGCTTTTATTTGTCCCATGACCAGTTTTATTTTTACCTTCCAGCCCTTTGTGTCTTTTCTTCTTTCAATTTCTCACTTCTCTCTTTCTCTCTCCTTCTGTCTTTCATCTCATTAATTCCAGGCAACTAAGGTTTCCTGGTTTACCCCTTCCTCTTGACCCCTTCCCTCATCCTTCCATTTGTATTTTGATCCTTTCACCCTTTCACCTCTGTATGACTAAACCTTTTTTTTTAACCTTGTCACTTGCATTTGTCTTCAATCCAAAATCATTTACCACCAGCCATTCTTGCCCTGCCTCTCCTTTTAAGCCAATTGCACAACAGTCTCTGAAGGAGGGGATGGACAACCACCTCTTTCAAAGCAGATGGAACCAGCTCCTCCCACAGAGAAGCATTCGCCACCTGCCATGTGTTCCAAAGGTGGAAAAATGAATAGAGAAAGTATTATTAGATATGCAAATAACAGCAAATATAGCAGTGCAAAGAATGAATATGTCAGATGTAAATGCCTTATTCTCTAATGTGTAAATAATATATGAACGGGGTATCAGGGGTTAACTTATTCTTCACTTCTTAATGTATTCATAATTCACCACTCCCACTTATAGCTCCACCCATTGTATATATAAGGAGCCACCTACACCCTTTTCCTCGCTTCTATCTGTGAATATTCAGTGAATATAGAATGCCTATTGTAAATAAAAGGAAATATATTTAAACCTTTAACTCTTACTAATATTATTGAGTCTGATCCTGAAAATATTGCAACAAGCTGGTAGCAGAGGATGGTTAATTGACTCAATAAAAAAACTTAAAAATGTCTAAGAAAGATAGGCCCAACACCAGGGCCTACAGCAAAGAAATGGAAACAGAACAAGAAATAATCAACGAATCCACAAACGCAATTTCGAGAGAATCCGAAGAATACACCACTGAAGACGAAGAAATAATAGATGAAATTGATGACCAGAAGGAAATCGAAATAGAGAATAACGAACTCAGGTCAGAGATATTAAAACTATTAAAGAGCCAGAAGAATGATGAAAGCCTCATCGCGAAACTCCAAGATATGCTGAAGAACAGCGGAGCAGCGAGAGAGAAAAACATCACTAATGAAAAGTCTAAAGACCCAAAAATAGTGAGTGATATGACTGCAGAGAAAGTCATTACGAAGAAGAAAAACGGTGATCCCGCGCGAAATTTTGAATGGCAGCCATCTTGGTTTCAACAGGCCTCCAGGATGAGCGAAGCAGAGCCAATCAAAATGCTCAATTCAAAATTTCTGGCGCGAAAAACGTTATCAAACAACGAAAATGAAAAAGAAGATTCAAACTCCTCAGAAGAATCAGAATCAGAAAGTGAAGATGATTCAACAAACTCCCAAATAAAATCAGCAATGAAAACGCTTTTTGCTGCATTTGGGCCAAAACTAAAAATTAACAAACAGCTACCGAAGAAGCGAGCGAGCAAGCCGATGCCTCAAGACCTGCCCGCTCCCATCCTAACTACGAGAACGCCGACACCCGAACCCAGAGAGCCCTGCCGGTACCGCCCTACGCCACAGACCGAAGCAAGCACCAAAGCCCTCAGGGGAAGAGGAAGAGCAGCCGCCGTCGTCAAGACTCCCAAAATCGAACCAGAGACCGATTCATCTGAAGAGGAGCAGAACGAGCGAGCCACAATGGAGAGAACCTTCCACGACGACTCCAAAGAAGAAATGGACAACGCGCATGCGCAAAACTACGCAGACGGTCCGGGAAGACATGAACTGGCGAGGAGACCATGCAGACTCGTTGCGAGCATCCCCATGCCGTTTTGCAATTTTCTACACTTGCGAGACCACGGACTACCTCAGGTTGTAAGTAATGGACACAATAATGTCGGAAATTTACCCAGTGACTTCCCAAAGCTAAGGGTTGATGGCGTTAATTTGCAAGAATGGTATCAACAGCTCCAGGTTGTCTTTATGAAGGAAAACTTATTATTTTTTATCACTAGTCCCCCAAAAAGACCTTGGACTCTAAAAATAGATTGTTTACACCATAGAGCATTTTTCTTAATAATATCTAGTGTGTCTCCTGCAATGTATCATAGCATTAAGCCAAATCTGACTGTTTCAGAAATCATTCAATGCATGTTTAATTTGTTTCACAGTGACAGTGTAGCTACCACCACAAGGATGTCTAAAGATTTCTTTTCATCTAGGGTAAAACCAGGGGTTTCCATAAGTGAGCATTTAATATATTTAAACAAAATAAGAGCTGAGCTGCATTTGAGGGGGGAGGTGATTTCAGACCAAACAATGAAAAGTGTTATTATCAACTCACTTGATTCATCATGGGACAATTTTATGTCACATTTAGACACTATCAATCTAGGATATTTATCCATAGAAAATCTATCCAATAAATTGATAGCAGAAGACAATTCAAGAAGGAATCGTTCTAGCAATCACACAGAACACAAACCATATAGGAAAGTAGCTTTCCAAGAAAAATATAATGAAACATTTAAATGCCACAATTGTGGATCCAGGGAACACAATAGAAGAGACTGTCCCAAAATTTCAAGAGAAAGGCATAGGTCAGAATATAGAAACAAATACAATTATAGACAGTCTTCCATAGATAGACATAGATATAGGAGCCCACCAAATTACAAAGAGAATAGAGGGGGCAGAGATAATTCAAAGGATAGAAAATCTGGCTCACTGAACGGGCTAAATAAACAAGACAACACTAACATACAGCAAAATGAGAACAATAATTGGCTTATTGATTCTGGAGCAACTAATCACACCACTAATAACAAAAATATATTGTCTTCATTTGCAGAAGATAAATTTGTAATAAAGGTAGCTAACCAAGAAAAGGTGCAAGTATTAGGTAGAGGGAATGTAACCTTGCCTGGTCTAGGAAAAATAGAGGGGGTATTGCTAATACCTGAGATACCTCATAACATACTAAGTGCTATAAAACTAAGTAGAGATTCTGACATTAACATTGTTTTTTCAAAAGGAAAAGCGATTTTGGAGAAGAATAAAATAAATATAGGCACAGTGATGATTAAAGGAGGCCTACCTTATCTGATAACTAAGGAAAAATGGTTGCATAACATTGACTCAAATATGGAAGATTGTATTGAAGTAGATGATGAAAATATTAGCAATAGTGACAATGATGAGTGTAAAACATCTCATGATCACAAAGATGCACACAATGAAAAAAAACCAAAAATAGGTAAGCCAATTCATGATGAGTGTGCTCACATCTTACATAGGAAGTTAGGACATGCCAGTTTTCCTGTAGTACAAAAAATGACTGAACACGCAGAAGGTGTTAAAATAAAAAATTGTGAAAACTATTTGGAATGCTCAGTATGTAAATCTACAAAACTAAAAACTAGCCCCAGGCCAAGAAAATCTACTAGATCAACTAACAAAATTTTTGATTTAGTACACATGGACTTAGTTGGTCCATTAACTCCATCAATCACTTATAGAAAACGTTACTTCCTGACAATAGTGGACGATTATAGCCGCTATGGGTTTGTTTATACATTAAAACACAAAGATGAAACATTTCAAAAATTTAAAGAATTTTACAAACGCATAGAAACACAACACAACATCAAAATAAAACAAATTATGACAGATAGGGGATGCGAATTCATGTCTAAAGAATTCTCCCAATGGTTAAAAGACAAAGGAATGTTACATTACACATCTAGTCCATTTTCTGCGTTCCAGAACGGGATTGTAGAGAGGAAAAATTCCACATTACAAACCATGATTAGATGCACATTGGAAGATGCTGGCTTAAGCAAACAATTCTGGTCAGAAGCCTTACATTATTCAAATTACACACAAAATAGAATATGGTCCAGCATTGTAAATAAGACACCATATGAAGTGATGTATAATAGAAAACCAAAATTAGCACACATGCATATATTTGGAGTCACTGCAGACGTACACATACCTAAACAATTAAGAAGAAAGGGAGAAAACGTATCCAGAAGACTCAGATTTATGGGATATGAAACCGGTACTAAAGGGTACAGATTCATTGATAACAATAACAAATTTATAGTCTCCAGAACAGCTGTGTTCCATGAACAGGCTAACTGGTCTAAATTACATCTTAATGAAATATTTCCAAATAAATATAAAGGTACAAAATCTCATGAAGAAGGGATCATAGAAAAG